TTTTTTTTTTGGCTCAATCAGTTGCTCTCTACAATGAAAAAGTGAAAGTGACTAGCATGCAGCAGATTTGTGGCTGTGGCATAACTAAATCAAAGTATAAAGCAGTATTTATAAACATTTTGAATTAGCTTTTATTTTTATTTTTATTTTATTTTTATTTTTATATTTTGAGTTTTAATTTTAGTTTTAGTCATTTTGTTCAAAACACTCTGAATGTGAACGAACTCCTGTGATAAAAAAAAAGACTAGTGAGTCTCCAGTGTCACACAGATTTTCAAAATACCTGAGACAAAGTTGAAACAATTGAGTAATTATATTCCTTGAACTATGAAAGTGCAAATTTTGAGCAATAAAATGTTCAATTCAATTAAATTCAAGTTTATTTGTATAGCGCTTTTTACGATACAAATCGTTGCAAGTTGAAACAATTGAGTAATTATATTCCTTGAACTATGAAAGTGCAAATTTTGAGCAATAAAATGTTCAATTCAATTCAATTCAAGTTTATTTGTATAGCGCTTTTTATGATACAAATCGTTGCAAAGCAACTTTACAGAAAATGAAACTTCTTGTTCTTTTGGGAAGGGACAGAAAAGCCCATGCTGTCCAACTTGATGCCCACTCTTCTTGCTCTGGTTATTTACGTGCCAAGACAATGAGGAAACCAGCCAATGATTGTCCACAGAGCCAGAGAATTGGCAGAGCCTGGCACACACTCGAATGCCTCTACATCCCTCTCCGTAAGACGGGTCCAGCTGTCCAGGACGCTTCTCCACAGCCCTGTTTTAACATGTTAATCTCGTTCTGCCTCATTCTAAGGCTGCCGTCCGCTGCAGGCTCCGAACTCCCAGCTGTCCCATGCACCCGGAAGTTGATTTATTCCATTTGAACTCATGCAAAATTACACCGCCCGTGTCACCTGAGACCTCATAATATCCAGCGTCCCGCGGCAGCTCCGGACGGAGCAAAGGACGATCAGAGCCCTCGTAGCCGTGGTAACCCGGAGACAATTATTGCCTCTCTGGTGCCTAGACAAACGTAATCACTCACTGTAATTTCATTTGGGCCTTTGGTTGCCATCTGTTTGATCTAACAGGGTTATGAGTTTAATCATTATTAGGCCCTTATCTGAGCAACAACCAATAGTGGGGCGGCATCATGAGTGCTGATAAAATGTCAATGCACTAAATGCATTGTGGTGGGGGGTGGGTGGGTGTGCTTAAGGATCCACTTACAAATTAAATTTGTTCAAGGAAGAGGTAGATGAGACAGAAATACACTTTCTACATCTCCCTGGAAGACCATCTGAGGAGGAGGAAGAGAAAGATCTGAGCATTACTGGCACTTTGGGCCTGAGAGCCATCAATTGTTGTTATATCAGTGACAGCTGTATCGGAAGCAGCTGTATGTAAATGATTTGTCAATTAGATAAACATGCAGATTTGCTGAGCAGATTGAGTGTACTTTCTCTCTCTTCAGATTTGCTTCCCATACTTATATTTTAAACTAAAAGTAGGTACTTTTGTGATGATGGGAAAGACTATGTACTGGAATTGAGACATACTATCACTTTATTAAATTACATTTTGATACTACAAACCTTTTGCTTTTCATTGCTTTTGCATGAGCATGTTAACATCTACCGTCTAAATTTTTACCCTAAATGTCTTATTATTTAAAGGAATAGTTCACCCAAAAATGAGGGTTTGCTGAAAATATATTCACTCTCAGTGTTAATTTTGACAGCAAATTTTGATTTAGTTTTAGTCATAGTCTTTTGACTAAAATGGCATTTAGTTTTAGTCATATTTTAGTCATCTGAATTGTTTTTAGTTTTATACTAGTTTTAGTCGACTAAATATCATAAGGTTTTATGATAAATCTACAGTAAATTTAGTCGGCTAAAATCTAATGGGTTTAGTTACAGTGTAATGCATTTATTAAGCATTTATTATTTTTTATTAAACTCATTATATAGGTTTGATATTAAGGCTTTATCTTGATAGACACCGATTTAACTGCGGTGACACACAGCATGCCTTTATGTTAAAATTCTTATTTTTAATGAAATACCAATGGTTATATAGGCTAATTATGCATTCTTTATAGCAACTTGTTTACCATATTCTTAATTCTTTCAAGCAGACATATTTATTTCTATAAATACATTTAGATTCATCTTTAGGGCTACTAAAGTTTTTCAGTCAAGAGCAGTGAGTGAATTTCTGTCTTTCTTTTGTTGCTTGATTAACATCAATGTCTCTGACAATTGCAACTAAATTAGGCTGCTATCCCTTTAAAACCGAATACACAGCTGCAATGGATGCAATGTACTGATACACGTTCTCCCTACTGTTTAAATTCACTTAAGACGTAATCAACTGTGCTTACGTGATTACTCGTCAAAACGGACAATTCGACATAATTTTGTGTGTAATTCTCCGTTCATGCGACGCGAAAGAGTACTCACACGCTGTGAGACGCGCTTTCTGTGTGTGTATGCTTCAGTGTCTGCGCTCAGAAAACCGGACCGAACTGAGTTCTCTCTTGCATCGTCAGATTTATCCATATGTCTGCTCTTCTCTTACTCCCACATATTGACATTTTT